TTCTTATAGCCCATAACTTCAAGGTCAAAGGGGGCATACATCTCCATTAAAACTTCTACGGAACCTGATGAGGAAGAATCATAATGAGAATCACTCAAAGAAGAGAGAGTGGAGCCATAAACCTCCTACGTGATTCGATTAAACTCCTCTTGGCCTAAGGCACCCTTAACCTCCCGCATGCATTGAATCCCATAACTCCCTTCTCTCTTCAACATTTGAGAGTTTTACGACATTTCCATCATCATCACACTCTTTTATCAGGACCAACTTTCTAAAGGGGTAAAATAAAAGGAAAAAGCGAAAAGTAAGAGGAGAAAGAAGAATACTTGGAGATTGATGAGCGCTTGGGATGTATAAACTTCCTCTGGAGATCAAAGCATTTCTGAAAAATGTTGAGATGAAAAAGGAAAGTTGGAAAATGAGTTTTTATAAAGACCCGTGGGTAGTGCACTAGGGTAAGGAAAGATCACCCAGTGAACAGAGGCTTAGGTGGAAGTCATCATTACTCTAGAAAAGAGAAAAAACGAACGACTCTTCATTCTGTGCCACATATGGAAGGATAAAAAACGAGTTGCAACCTGATGTCAACCTTAATATTTTTCGTGCCTTTCGTGACCGAACATTGCATCCTTATGGAAAAGGATTTGAATTCGGGGGGCTTCTGTACATCCCGGAAATATCGGCCCCGACCGGGTAGTGAAATCGACTGAAGAGGTAGTGAAGTCGGTGGCCAACTTGGTGGTAAAAGGTACCCGGGAGGGGAATACAACTTGGCTAAGAATATCAGATGACCATCGTACCTCTGGGTATAAGCTCGTATGTACCGTTAACCCGACTAATACTCGTGGTCGAGATCCATATATCTATGATAGATCATCTACTCGGCTCATTAATAAGTTGTAACCTCCACCAACGCATTTACTCCAACGTTATACAACTATGTGAAGGTAGAGAAAATACAAGAAATGGGGGTTTGAATTAGGTTTATAGAAAACATTCCCCTTTAGAAATTCTGAGCATTCAAATGATAATAGCAGTAAAGAAAATGAAGAATAAAGGACATAAGGATTTATCCAGGTTCACCTTAGACAAGGTTAATCATGTCCACCCCCTCAAGGATGATTTCACCTTCAATAAGAACTTAATCCACTATAACCAAACTGATTACAAATGCACGGGAAACTACCAGTGACTAACACACAATGACACGTTCAAGAATCCCGCAAAATATAACGTTCATTGACTCAATAGAATCAGATCCCTCAAGATCATCTACCAAGATTTCATAATGACCAACAACCACTATCATCTTGAGATCAAACCTTCACTCAGTCTCTCAAGGAACTTTCCAATGATATTTTCAGTGATCTGATTTAACAAATATAACAATAATTGACCCAATATAATCCGATCACTTAAGGTCTTCTATCAGGATTTCATCACAATGATATCCATCTGAGATCTCTTAAGAATTCTAACATTCACTCACCCCCTAAGAGATATGACTACCATTGACCCAACAAAATTCGATCACTTAAGATCTCCTATCAGAATTTCATCATAATGACCAATAACCATTGTCTTCTTGAGATCATACCTTCACTCAGTCTCTCAAGGAACTAATCAACAACAGTTGATAAGGTTCTTGTGTTTACATGATTGCTTCTTCTAAGTAGATTACACAAGTGTTTTAAGCACATATTGTTTAACACATCTTTGAGCAACAACTCTAGTGTTAAAACAATTTACATGGAGAGATTTGAACTGAAATACAATACAAGTAACAACTCTTGTGTTTATTACAATGTTCTATCATGATGTATATGATCAGAAGTTGAGTAACATCTTGTAGTGTTCTTCATCTCCATCTTCTTGTTGAGCAAGTTACGAGCAACAACTCCTTGCTTCTTCTGAAATCTACCAAGATGTATTTGATCAGAAGTTGAATAACATCTTGTAGTTTTGTTCTTCATCTTTCTTTCTTTTCTCTCATTTTTTATATAGTGGTCTTCAAAATGTTTATCATTACAACTTTTACATCTTTAGCATCCACAACGTTTAAGCTTGATGACCAATAACTATTTAGCATTCAACTTTGGATTTAGCTTCAACATAGGCATTAACAAGCTTTCTTTAAATCTTTGATCTTCTTTTATAGCCTTTAGAGAGTGACGCTGTAAGGATATAAAAGTCTTTTCCTGCACCAACGGTTAGTTCTAACGGATATAATAAGGTGTAAGAGTTAGACAATATAAAATAATAGTTTACGTATTCTGTGACTGTTCAATGATAACTTTCCACCTTTTATCTATGAATAATGTTTTTTTAATAAGCTTGTAAATAGAGATCCATTGAGTAAAGAAAGATAGTTGAAAATCCAACTGTTTGTTTCCAACGGTTATAATGAGAGTGGTTGACAATACAGTACGAAAGGATTGTCTTTACGCCACCCTAGAGGGTAGAGGTCACATAAACTTTATGTACCTTTTATACAGCATCACACGTTAACCATTTTAAACTTCTTCTTATATTCAGAGGCTTCCGATAATTTGAATGTTGAAGCTTGTTGTAAAAGAATCACTCTTAAGTCTTAGAACCTAAGTCTTGGAGTATCCAGAACTTATCCTATCAGAACTTTGTCTTCAGAGTCTTCAGCACTTGGTTGTAAGAACTTGCTTGTCTTCAGATCATCAGAACTTTTTCAACAGAACCTCCTTTTTATAATCTTCAGAACTTGTAACACACAGAAGTAAAGCTTTAGAAGGCCTCCAAAGATTAACATAAAGTCACGATTAGAACCTCTTGTACTAACGTTCCTAAGACACGTTACAGAAGATGTATTCAAAATCTTGACTTTAATTGTAACATGTAACCACATATTTTCTTCCAGTAGTGTATATTCAGAACCTGATAACATCACACACCTTGATACTAGAGTAAGAACATTACAACAACAACTACACACTAGAACAAACCATTAGAGTATACAATTGTTCTTAAAGATAACATATAAAGTTATCATCAAAATATTAAGACCATATGTAGAACACTTCTTGTTCTTACACCATGAGCGCCTTCATTCATGGCGACGATGACAATTATGAACCCCAAGAGTCACACATTAACTAAGACTCTTGATGACGCAAAAGGAATACTTTAAAAAGAGGCTCTCGCAAGAAGGATAAGCAAGACATTCATTCTTGGGACAATACACACTATTGACGTAGCTCCCAAATCCCCAATTATTCTACAAATATACTTTCATGACTTTCCTTATTTTCAGGAGAGAAACCGACCAAATATTTATTTTACGCAAGAACAACATTAAATCTGATTTTCGTCTTTAAATGATAGTACTATTTATTATAAAATATATGATGAAGAAGTACTATCTCATTTATTATTTTTTTAAATTGAAAGATTCTAAAATTATTTTAGATAAACTAAGTAAGTAAATCTATTAGAATATATTTTCTTCTATTTTTTATAATTAAGAAATTATTATTATATGAAAAATATAGAGATAAAATATATAGATCTGATAAAAGTGAGACATTCTCTAATAAAATTTTAGATCAATCAAGAGTAATTTAATTCTGAAAAATTATGAAATATATACTTTAACATTAAAGTATGTTGTTAGGATATTTAATTAAAAATGATCAAGAATCTCTTTATTTCAATATTATTTAAAATAAGGATGAATTATTGTAAAGGATTGAACCCCAAATTATTTACCAATATGCAAGAAAAGAATATATGTGATTTTTGTGATATGATTTTAAAATTAAACATTAAATCCAATACCGTCTTTAAATAATATTACTATTTATTTAAAATATATGATTAATAAGTACCATTTCATTTATTTTTTTAAATTAAAATATTTTGAAATTATATTAGAAATACTAAGTAATAAAATGTATTAAAATATTTTTTCTTTTATTTTTATAATTAAGAAATTATTTTAAGAAAATTATGAATAGTATTCTATAAAGTTAAAGAAAATAATATATATATATATATATATATATATATATATATATATATATATATATATATATATATATATATATATATATATATATATATATATATATATATATATATATATATATATATATATATATATATATATATATATATATATATATATATATATATATATATATATATATATATATATATATATATATATATATATATATATATATATATATATATTGAAAAAAATTAGTTGTACGTTGAAAAATAATTTGTTGAAATTTAATTGAAATTTATTATATTTGATATTTTTTAAAATAATAAAAGTTAATAAATAAATATTAAATTATTATATTTTTATATTTGTAAAGATTCGAACTCATGATCTTCTATAGAGATTAACAATATATTTTAACTTTTGAAAATTAAAAATAAATTATGAGTCACAAAATAAGAGTTGAAATGTCACAAGATAATTTGATCCACTAAATTTAATAAATATAAATAGATACATGTCAAACCGGAAAAAGTCAAAAATCACATTTTCATCCTCGAAGAGAAATCCATTTATACAAAACAAGTATTCTGAATTACCATAGGTTAGGCCGTGGAGATTAATGCACCTGGTAACAATTATACAAATCAACTTATGAAGAATTTTAAAGGACATAGTGAAAATTGCAATTGCAACCCGTCACGTGTATCAAAGGAACATTTTAATTAATCAGGTATAATTGATTTAGTCTAATCACAAGAATGAACATAATTTAGTGCAATTAATTTTTGTTAAGAAAAGTATATTATGAAGAATAGGTAGACAGTTGATTATTGTTTTAAAATAAGATAGTATAAATTCATTTATCTTAATCTAATTTACATATTATTGAAAACTTTAAAAAGATATATACATTGTTGCTTATCTGCTCCGGAGTCCGGAGAGGAGAAGAACCGAAGAAAGCAGAGTCACACACAACAGTGTAGTTTGTTTCTTTGAGAACTCTCACTCCTTGTTCATAATGGTAATCGTTGCATTATCATCTTCCCTATTCTCCTCCTTACCTCCCCACGACCCCACTCCTTCCTCATCCGCCCCCCCACGTCCGCCTATCCCCATTCCCAAGTACCCCCCACCTCGAAAATCCCAACCCCCACCACCACCATCAAATCCCGCCCTCAAATACCACCGCAACTCCAAATACTACAAACCCATCCACCACAACACCGTCATCCCCTCCGACGGCGACCGCTCCGTCATCATCGGAGAATCCGGCGTCTCCTACCTCCTCCCCGGCGCCCCATTCGAGTTCCAGTTTAGCTACTCAGAAACTCCCAAAGTGAAACCCTTGGCCATCCGTGAACCGGCTTTCCTACCGTTTGAGCCTCCGACAATGCCGAGGCCGTGGACCGGGAAAGCGCCGTTGAAGAAGTCGAAGAAGAATATTCCGCTTTTTGATTCGTTTAATCCTCCGCCTCCTGGGATGAAAGGTGTTAAGCAAGTTGAAATGCCGGGGCCTTTTCCGATTGGGAAGTATCCGGAAGAGGGAATAAGTAGAGAGGAGATACTCGGGGAGCCTCTTAAGAAGTGGGAGATACAGATGCTTGTTAAGCCTATGGCGTCTGATAATCGCCAGGTTAATCTCGGTGAGTTCGATTTCGAGGATAGTTTTGTTTTGCTTAACTAGTGAGGGTCTTAAATAGTAGTTTTGTTTAGTTGAACTGTTAGGATTTTAAATAGTAGTAATAGTTGCGATCCTTGATATTTCCAAGAATCACGGTCAAATGGACCAATGCAGCCTCGATTGTGGTTGTCAGACCCCTAGTCTCAAGTTTTTGTAGGTCTTGTGTAGATTAGTTGCAGTTCACCCATGACAAAACAAATAGAGGTCATATTTAACTACATTTTAACATTGACAAACATTTTAGAGGCTCTATTTAGCTACGGTTTAACCGTGACAAATTTTCTTGCACGTCCTCAAAGATGACCCTGGTGGTTGTCTTGCAGTTTCTGTAACAGAAAACAGTTATATTGCAACCTCGGTTGCGGAGCAAACTTTATTTAATACCTAGGAACTAGTGAAGATCCCGTGCAAGATTGCAAATGAAAAAGAGGTTGGAAACATAAATGTGAAACTGTGGCACGTGTTGTTGTGGAAAACTTTTTTTTTACAATGGATACATGTATTGTGATAGGTGAAGGATTGGACTGTGTTAATGATGTTTGGTTTTGATTTGATGGTTTAGGAAGGGATGGATTAACGCACAACATGTTGGAGTTGATACATTCTCATTGGAAGCGTCGTCGCGTCTGTAAAGTTCGTTGTAAAGGTGTTCCCACGGTTGATATGGATAATGTTTGCCGCCATATTGAGGTTTGAAATTGATTCCTAATCTCGTGCTCATCATTTTGATACCAATATAACAACACTTGCATAATATCATTCTTGTCTCCGTATGGATTGTGCACCATGGGTTATTTGAAATGAAAATAATATTATGTCAATTATAAAAGTATGTGCTGAAACTGTTTTTTAATGGATTTATTTATATGTTGTAGTCTTGCGGCATTTTGCTTGCCTTCATTTTTTTGAGTTCCCATCCTTTAGTTCTTTCTTCTGGGTTTCTATCTCATTTTCTGAGTTCCCAACAAAAATGGATCTTGTTGATGCTTTTACTTTCTTTTTTCTTTTCTCGAATCAATCATTGCACAACGTTGATAAAATCAATTGATTAGTTATAAACTGTGCGTGAAAGTTGATTGTTGCATGTGGTTGGTTTTTTACTTTGAAGTAAATCTTTATATGTCATAACAGGAGAAAGCAGGAGGGAAAATAATTCATCGAGTTGGTGGCATAGTTTATCTTTTCCGTGGAAGAAATTACAACTACCGTACTCGTCCACAGTATCCAGTGATGCTCTGGAAGCCAGCTGCTCCTGTATATCCAAAACTTATACAAGATGCTCCAGAAGGATTAACAAAAGCTGAAGCAGATAAATTACGGAAGAAAGGGAAAAGTCTGTTGCCAATATGTAAATTAGGTAACCATCTATTAACTCTTAGATCTCTTTTTATAATTTAGACAAATACTCTGCATGAAGAAATTTGACAACATGCTTAGAGTAACTGCAGTCGCAAGGTGAGGCTAGAGTTTCCTTAGGCCCGAATAATAGCTGCGTAAGTATTGCAAATCTACATGTCATTAGACTTAAGTATCAAGTATTGCCCCAATGAAAATATTTAACCATATGGGATGCTTTTGACTTCATAAGGGGCTTGTCAAGATGGAACATCTCATAGTTAGTAGAGTAGAATATTGAAAATAGAACACTCAATGCAAGTAAACCAGCAGAAGAATTGAGTACAAAATCTTTAGTAGGAGGAAAAATGATCTAAATCAAGTACAATGGGCTTGTCTTTATGCTTTGCATATCTTTATGTATCTGAATATTTATTCCATAAAATACTCTGTAAATTTTGATTTTACATTATACTTTAGGGCTAATTACACATATTTTATGGCTTAGCATCTCATTTACTTCTGTCTTGTTGTAGCCAAAAATGGAGTATACACAACACTTGTAAAGGATGTAAGAGATGCTTTTGAAGGAAGCCATTTGGTGAAGATTGACTGCAAAGGATTGGATCCTAGTGATTACAAGAAATTAGGTGCCAAGCTGAAGGTACTAGATAACTAGCTTATCTGTAATTTGTACTAAGTTAATAAAATTAATTCAAAGTATAGAAGGAACCTACACTATGCTCAAAGCACTGGAGTTGAAAAAATTATATTCAATTCAACAATTCAAGTGTTTGTTCTCTATTCAATACTTATTCATCAAGGGGTGTTCTGCAGTATATTAGTTTGGCATAATAAAAGTTCACATGAGGCATATGATTGAGGATTTAACAGTTTGATTTTTCACATTTTTATCTCTATGGCTATGCTAAAGTGATCATTTGGTCGATATATTATATATAAGTTCCAAGGCATCCTTACCAATAAATGATTATTTTACGAAATTATTTTTCTGGTTATCACTACTAAAATAGGTAATCTTCTATCTACTTTAGACACTGCGCACTTTTGTTGTCAGTCTTTTTTCTATTTCCTCTCCTGGGACGAGGGACTTGTTACAATTTATTACTGCTTCAAAATATGCTTTGGACTTTGTAATTGAAATGTCTCTGATAAGTCTGTTTCATAGAACATAGTAATACCGGTCATGTGCGACGTATAGTTATATGCGTCGTGTATGCTTTCTTAAGTATTGCTGCAGGATTATTTAGGAGCATTATGCTGCATGCAATTTGATCTCCTCGCTTTGCAGGATTTGGTTCCTTGTGTGCTATTGTCTTTTGATGATGAACAAGTATTGATTTGGAGGGGCAAAGACTGGAAATCAATGTACGCAAAAGCTCCAGTTTTCGTTACAAGGAATTTGGACAATACAGGTATGTGTTACAGTAAAACGTTGGTTGCACCATTTTGCTTTGGAAGGCTTGTCCGAATGGAATTCTCATTCAATATGCACACATAATGTGTAAATATTATGAAATATTCTTTCTATTGAAGATCAAGTACGACACTAGAATGAGAGTTCCCAATATATTTTCAAAAATTAAACAAGAATAACTGAATAAAAACAGTATAATTCATAGATAAAAATAATTAGTATTTTGTGTTTATAATGAGGTGATTGTAAGCAATCCAGACACTAGGAAAGATACGGTTTTTTCTTAAATCAGACGAGGGGTTTAGAACATGATGCATTTCCTAGCTGATAATACGAAGTCAATTTCTATAGTTTTCTTCGTACGGATTTCAATGGTGACAGTGAATAGAAAGATATATTCTAAAAATGCATTTGTGCATCAAGGTTTTGTGAATTTTCTCAAGCAAATTGGTAGCTTGGAATGGCTGAATTAATTTTTTTATGAAGAGGCTACTCATAGTAGTCAATCCCGGATAGCGGCTTGGAGCGGCCAATCCAAAAAATGAGATAGCGGGATATCTGCTATTTTTGATTATTTTTTAGACAAATTACATGAATAATTATAAGTATATGAAGTGCAAAGGGAAGAAGGAAGTGCTAAGAGAGGTGAGGAAGGAACTTGTGTTTTTTCTTGAAGAGCTAAATTGCAGAAACGTAGGTGAAGAAAGGTTAAGGTTGAGTCTCAATACAAATTTGATGAAAAATCCTAAATGACCCTTAAAACGTTTTAAATTTAAGGGGTAATTTCGGTTTTTCAAAGGGGAAAAGGATGGTGGGACAGAAACTGCTCCGCCTCCGCTACCTGCTATTTACCCTATAGCGGCCGCTATAGTGTTCTGCATTGCTAAGGTTCTTCCCATAGCGTCCGGCCTCTGCTCCACTCCGCTATAGCATCATAGCGCTGCTATTGGCCACTACTTCACTACTTCTCATTATAAACTCATTGACAGTTGTTTAGGAACGTTTATAAAGGGATACTGGGGGAAATTGAGGAAAATAAGTTTTCCATGTGGGGGGGTGCTGTGAATGAAGTTTCTTTGAAATCTTTAACAATGATCTTTCTAGGGAAGCATTACTTATAATATTCCCCCGATGTCGAAGAAGATCATGTATGGTTGTTGGTTTGTTTGTGTTTTTGTGTTGTATCTTGACTTGATCATATGATAAAAAGTATATAATTGGTTGATAATATTAATTATGCAACTTGATCTTTATGATTTCACAATGTTAATCAGGCATGGGCAACACGGTCAACTCAAGCCCAAAAATGTTATCTCTGTGGAAGAGTGCGATTGAGTCGAACAAAGCTTTGTTGCTAGAAGAATTTAATCTTGGACCTGATGCTCTCTTGGAGAAGGTAGAAGAATTTGAGGGTATTTCACAGGCCACAGAGCACTCCCATCCAGCATTTATTTCTTCCAGTGAAGATGCTTTTGAAGGTTCAATTGAAGAAGGTGGTACAGAAGACAACTATTCAAATGAAGAAGGCCTAGATGATGTTGATGATTATGATAGCAACAATGATGATGAAGATGATTATGATTACTACAACGATGACGAACACGATGAGTTTAACGATATAGTGGTTACATCTGCTCAACCTGGATCGCTGCCAATTGATTCGCTTGTTGATAAGCTCAAACTAAGACAAAAGGAGTAAGGATTAAAAAAACTATAGTAACTTGAGAAGAGCTTGTGTAAATTAGCATGGTAGAAGGCATAAAATGTAAACTTGAAAGAAAAATAGTTAGTTGTATATAATCAATTGGTAATTTTTTTTCAAGAAAATACTACGTACCTTGGTTTCATTAGTGATGCAATGTCTTATAAAATTATGATTTGTCTCAATATTTCATTTTAGAATCATAAGTTCTTAGGAAACTATTAATGAGGTTTTTAGTAATAAAATATTGAGAATTTTTTTTTGGAATAACTAGGTATTAAAAAAAAATCGCAAATAATCATGTTTCAGAAAACTCTATAAGGGAGGAGCCAATCCTGTTGGTGCATGCACCTTATTTTAAAGGGGAGGCGCCATCTCACTTGGCGTCTATGTGTAAAAGGTTTGCCCTAAGCCAAGTGAGATGGCGCCTTAGTACAAATGACAGATAATTTTTCGCGTTTTTTATTTTAAATGCGGTATATCACGTAAATGATATATGATAAAAAAATTGACTTTTTATTTACACAATATGATTACACACAAAACGATTACATAAAAAAAATACAGATTAATCAGTGGTCCCACAGAACCCAGTAATGACCCCCGGTTCCGCATCTCTGTCCTCGCCTTTCCCGTGCCGTGCTTCGTCGTGTTTCCTGTTGTGGCAGAGTTGATGACCTAGCCAAGTCAATGCGTTCCGGATCCATGAAATCGGTCAGATCTCCATATCTAGAAGATCTGCTTTGGTACAGTCGGTTATCCATACCCTCAAAGTTTGGTCGTGTTGGTGGTGGGTGGAGTTCCATGGTTGGTCTGTAGCACTGGTCGTCTGAGTACGGGGGATAAAAAGGAAATGGATCTTGGGGTGTTTGGTATTGGGAATATTGAGTGCTTTGGTGATGTGGTGGTTGATGGTAAGTTGGGTCGGTTGGTTCATAATCTTCGGACAATCCCAGATCAAGGCTAAGGTTAGATGTTGAGGGACCCATATTGGGATATGTAGAAGAATGAAATTGTGTGTGGGATATGCAAGTGTATTGGTATTGTGATTGAAATTGTGGTTGGGTGTGAGGCATATGGGGGTATTGATACTGAGGTGGTGATTGTGGTTGGTTGTAGGGCATGTGGGTGTAATCGTATTGTGGTGGTGATTGTGGTTGAGTGTTTGTGGTTCTGTTTCATCGGGGAGGTTGGTGGGAGGTTGATGTGTGTTGGGTTTGTTGTTGGGGAAATGAGGGTTGTGCCCATTATGTTCGTGGGTCAACCAAATACCTCGGATGAGACACGTGTATTTCTAGGGTACTAACCGATCTGTACCAAGCTAAATACTGATCCGTGTGTCGCATATTACCATGATTGAGGAAAACTGGGAATTGCAAGACATGTCGGTGACGCCTCTGCCACATCTTACACCATTTTGGAGCAAAATCTTTCTAGTTGGTAAGACTCCATTGGACGTCGACCCTTTTGAGGTGCCACGGGAACAAACAAGTTGGATCGCAGGGTATCTCTTGATGTATTCCAAAATGCATCTTGACACGGTCGTTGTGGTGCATCTCCACAACATTGAACCGTATGATTGCAGTCTTTGTGCTCCAAATTGTTGCATCCTCGGAGTTTGGTTCATGGTCCAAACCCAAATATGGTCTCTAGACAAACTGCAGATAAAATTAAACCAGCTTAATGAAAATGTAATAAATAAATAATTTAAAAGTAGAAAAGTTGAAAGGTATGACGTACATCATCCGGGCCAAGGTGATCCAATAGATTGCGGTATAGAGCGACATTGAATCTTGGATTCTTGCCGTAATTCATACCCCTCATGCAGTACCTAAAGAAATTGAAAAATATTTTATTTTTATCATATATTTGGTGAAGAGATGAATAATAATAAATGATATAAGTTAATGACTTACTTTGTTGCGTATGGGAAAACGAATGCGTTGTTGTTGACGGGGTTTAGGGTCTCCATTCTCCACCAACCACAAACTTGAAGTAAAAAAGCGCAACCATAAAATGTACATATTTCCTTGATTGCATTTTTACACAAGGAACTGTATAGATGGACTAAAACAGGAGAACTCCAACTATACTTTCTAGTTTTTTTCGAAGTCTCTAAGTAAATTTAAATACATAAAATTTACACTATTTCCCGTACTTTAGAGAAATAAAAAGGTTCCAAATAGTATCATTATATAATTTCTAGCTTTTATTACCTTAGCTAGCTCGGAGGAATTTTCGTTCAATTCCAGAGTCGCATAATGATTTTTTAGCTCAGTAAGTAGTATGCCCTGACCTCTCGCACCACCACCTTCAACCATATCCATGCCCAATAATTCTTCACACATAGAATTGGATTGTTGAACCGACCCGTTAACCGCCTTACCTTCGACAGGGAGACCCAATAACATGTACACGTCCTCTAGTGTGACGGTACATTCACCTATTGGTAGATGAAATGTATGGGTCTCTGGTCTCCACCTTTCCAACATTGCAAGTATGAACTTTGAATCAATCGTGCAGTTGGAGATCTTTATAATGTTTTTGAAACCTGCGTATTCGAGATAGGGTACAATCAACGGGTCCGGAGCAAGGTAGTTGTGTGACCGAATTCTAAATCTTTTAGTATCCTAAGTTAAGAATGTAAAAAGTGTAAGAGTCGATAAGATGAATAAAGCATTAATAGAAGTATGAAAAATGTATAAGTATACAATAAACTTACAAACGCTGCAATGTTGTCCCTTGTGCCTCTGAGAATCGCCCATTTTGAGAAGAGCCATTGTTAAAATTGTCTGAGATTATGAAAGAGTTTGGAATTGTCTGAGATTATGAAAAAGTTTATAGCAGATAGTGAGACGATTATGGATGCAATAGAAGTATGTGAGGCTCTGTATTTATAGGAAAACTTTTATCACATAGTAAGTGAGGTGGTTGGTGGGTGCATGCATGCATGATAAGTGTCACTCTTGCAGTGTAGGTGCATGTTAGGTGGCAGCCTTGGCGAAGGCATCTCTGCATGCATGTAACACGATTGGACGTGAAGGGAGGCGCCATTGGACTTGGCGAATGAGTACAAAAATGAAATGTGTCGTCATCCCTGTTGGCGAATAAGAGGTGGCATGGGTTGCAGTGTAGGTGTAGGCTAGGTGGCAGCCTTGGGGAAGACATCTCTGCATGCATGTAACATGATTAGACGTGAAGGGAGGCACCATTGGACTTGGCGAATGAGTACAAAAATGAAAGGTGTTGCCATCCATGTTGACGAATAAGAGGTGGCATGGGTTGCAGTGTAGGTGCAGGCTTTCTTGATTTCTTGATGATTAAGATTTGTGTTTTTGAATGTCTTGATGAATTGTGATCTTTGAAACTTAATGTTGACCAAAAAAGTCAAAGTTTAACTTTTGGCGTTACAATTGACTTTTTAATCAATACAATTGATTTTAGGTCATCTGGTCAATTGACTGAGCATAATTTGTGATACAAGACTTGAAACTTGACATGCGCATTCTTGAAATGATCCATGAAAGTCATTTGAAGTATTAGAAGTCCAATTGTCCTTGTGCAAACTCAAACTCTAATTTTGAGTCATCAGTGCTTGAGGATGTGTCTTGGCCTAGTCAATCCTTGTGCAAGCTTGAGCTATTAAAGATCTTATCGGAAATGTCTTGAGAAATGAGAGGAAAATTTTTGGAGTACGACAGCTCCCTTGAATCATTATTACCTTACCCTCAATTTTTAGATCTGATTATACTTGATTAAAAGACTAACTTTGATGCCAATTGTTGAACAAAAATATGGAAATACAATGATCTAGAAGAGAGGGAGGGGGGTTTTGAATAGGAATCCTTAAAAATTGACGGATTAAAAAAATTGTTTATTTCAAAAAGGACTAGAGTTTAAAACTATTTTACGCGGTGAAAGCACAATGCGTCCAAAGTATGTTTTTGGACATGATATATAAAATGGCCATATGATATAAAAAATTTAAAGTAGATGAAATAGATAATCAAATACAATTAATCAATATATTGAATTTCAGATGTTTTACACGAGTTGCATAAACATATAACTTCAATACAATAAGAATTCTAGAACTATTGTTGTAAGGTTTAATCAACAACAAGAATAATTCAAAGATCCAATCTAACAATACCTACATTTTATGAAAAATATATATATCAAGGAAATAAACCTAACCATATGTGGTTCTAAGAAAGCAATATACCTATTCTAATCAAATTATTATTATAATATATATATATATATATATATATATATATATATATATATATATATATATATATATATATATATATATATATATATATATATATATATATATATATATATATATATATATATATATATATATATATATATATATATATATATATATATATATATATATATATATATATATATATATATATATATATATATCTTACCGGATCAGACTTGGACCGTCACAGCTGACTCGAACTGAATTTGAGTGAGATGGGGGGGGGGGGGGGTACCTGCAAGACACTCCGATGCCAAAATGAGAGATGGAACGGGCAGGAAAAAAGTGTATAGGCGTGTATTAGATGAATACCTGACCCTCTTGAAACAAAGGGTATTTATAGCCCCCAGCGTTGGGCCAAGGTCCCCTCATTGGGCTGACCAGAACTGGCCCAATAAATGAACTGCCAGGTTCTACGTGTGTAGTGGGGACCCACACGTGGTCCCCTTCCTGGATGGTGCTCTGCGAGGAACGAGGAAGGACGAAGACGCGGTCTTTCCGGAACTTTGAGGATTCCATAACGGTTAGAGTGGACAGAACCTACCCTACGGGGAGGGTGCTCGAGCTGGAGCTTCCCTGGTCGGGATGCTGCTCGTCGAGGGCAACGGCGGGCGCTGCAGCTGTAGTCTATGGTCGGGCACGTTCGGTGATGGTCCGATTGTGAGCATTCCCCGAGGAGCTTCTTGGATCTGGGCCTTTATTTTCACTTTGGGCCAAG